GGAACAATGGGATGCCCTTGCATGTGGGCAAGGAGAGCCAGAGTCACCATGATTCAGCCGTTTATCAAACGAGACGCGTCGTCAAATACAGAATGGGAACACTTGCAGGGAGCTGCTGCCGGCTGCAGCTAACGCCCAGACGCTCCCACGCTGACTAAACGGCCAACCCGACTTCAGCTCTCGATGGCATTCACTTCGCCACCCCACTGAGAGGCAGACATTTTTCACACAAATGTTTATTTCTTGACATTTCCACTTTACAGCTATGATGCAGTACTCGTTTTCTTTCTTAGGAACATTGAACAAAATATGTTTTTGGGGACGCTGGAATGGATCATTGTTTTCATTTTGATGGGGAAAATCCATTCGCCAGACAAGTCAATTAACGAGGACAAATCGAACTCGTCAAGGTATCATTATGATTTTTTTTTTTTTTGCTGACAAACTGACTGATGAACAAACTCATTAAATGTAATTAGAAATGTATTCATGCCTTCAAATGGATTTCAGGAAGACATCATGGGATGAAGGCGTTAGTTGGTCGTCTTGCTGCTCTCCATCTTTCATTCAGATCACATTTCATGCGAGCTGGCACGCGGCGCCTCCGCGCATTTTTCAAATGTCATTGTGCAAGATTCATCCTTCATGTTGCCTTGCGCGCGGCAAGTGAAAGACACCAAGGTCAAGCGCGAAGCTTCCGTCTCGTTTAAGGAATAAACGAGATGACTAAATGGAACATTTCAGTGATGCGGTTGGCTCCTCAAGGACTATTTTTTTTCTTTTTCTTTTTTAATTAAACCTCCAGCAGTGATACCCTGTTATATTGTCCACATGACTTCCCGTGCACCATTTTTACCTTGATTCTTCCAAGTTGACGCAGCTTAGAATAGATGTTAGCGGGAAGAATGTTCTCCGGTGTCCTTGCAGAGCAATTCCAGCGCATGGCGTGCCGCATCTGTGCTGATGTTCCCGCTGGGGACTTGGAGCGAGAGAACACTTGAGCTGACACGCCCGTCGTTGGCTACAATGCGGTGTGCTAAATTTGACTTTCATTCATTTCCGCTCCCCCGATTTAACGGTGGTACATAAATTATCCACTGGGGCACTTTGGATTTCGAGTCCACCAAAGAAGATTTTCCAGTTATCGAAGAACTGAAAACTGGTGTTCCTTTCCAACTTTCCCACTTAGGAGAACAGCTCCACGACAGTTATTGTCGCAAATAAAAATCCACAGTAGAGTAAATCCGTAATCATCGAACCGCCAAGGAGTGGTTCACTGTAGTCCGCGGGTGTCAAACCCAAGGCCTGGGGGCCAGATCCGCCCCACCATGTCATGTTATGTGGGTCCCCCTGGAAAAAAAAAGGTGTGTAATCAATAACGTTGAGATTTTGCATTAATTTGGTGACCCTTCTTACACTCACTTGAACAATAATCGACCAGCGATTATAGTTGACTGATTTCAAAACTAGTAATCCACGAATTGGTTGTGTACAATTAATAATGCGATGAGACAATGGAAACATTTTTTGTTGTTTCACCGTCCAAAACGGCTCTCAGAGGGAAGACGCAACAAAAATGACTTTGACACCCCTGCTTACTACAAAGGAGGGGAAAAAAACCTGATTGATAATCGTACTTACAATATAGATTACAAAAATAATGATGATTATCATTGGCAATAATCGCGCAGCAAATCTTAAAGTACGTGCCGCCTCAGTGGGTGTTTTTTCAACCCTGAACAACTAGCCAAAACCTAATTCAAATACACAATGACCCACAAAAAAATCAAAAATCAAAAAATCAAAGCTCTAGGGAAGGCACTGGGCAGATTACATTGACCTGGCAGCAGAGTAAGGCCGAAATATGATTAGACAAAAATAAAAAACCGACAAACCACATGTACCTGATTGATAATAGTACTTAGAATATAGATTACAAAAATAATAGTGATTATCATTGGCAGTAATCGCGCAGCAAATCTTAAAGTACACGCCACCTCAGTGGGTGTTTTTTCAACCCTGAACAACTAGCCCAAAACCGAATTCAAATACACAATGACCCACCAAAAAAACCCCCCCAAATAAAATCAAAGCTCTAGGGAAGGCACTGGCCACATTACATTGACCTGGCAGCATAGTAAGGCCGAAATATGATTAGACAAAAATAAAAAATCGGCAAACCACATGTAGCCACTGGAAGCTGTGCGGCCAAGAGAACCAATCTGAAACGAAGAGACTGTTGAGAATAAACGAATTCAATCTCATGAGTTCGAATCGAGATTGTAAATGGAGTCTTGAGGCCAGCAGAGAAAGCCTTGCTGACTCGGAGCGTCCACCGCTGAGGCTTGGACATGAAAAATAGCCAATTTTCATAGCTGGCTGTTATGTCAGCGTCCTCTTGGAAAAACCCAGCAGTACGTACACAGCGTGAGCGCTAATGTTTACGACCTGCTCCTCACCTGTAAATCCCCCCCGCCCAATTCCCAGGGTTCTCGCAGGAGGCCTTGTCCTCGTAAAATATTCATCCCCGCCAAAGCGCGCACAAAGTGCACGTGTCTGTATACGGGCGCGTGCTAATGGTGCCTCTGCTTCGTTCTATTGTCACGTCCGACGATTTGTGCGCCGCCATCCGTAAGCAGAAAGCCACCTCCGTCAGCTCATCCCCTTTTGATGCCTTTCTTTCCGCAGACAATCTGAAGGGGAGGCAGCTTCTTCACACCACCTACAAAATGTTCATGACGGCCGCAGGTGTGGAGGGTGAGTGTTGCCGTCCCGGAGAATCACACGACGGGAAGGCGGTTCAGGTTGCAGCGGGATGACGCCGAGCCGCTCGTGCGCTCGCAGCGGCTCTAATCCACACTTGAGCCCCGCCGATCTTATCGGCCCGCATTAACGTCGGAATGGGCGCGATTGAAGGCGACGTGCGTGCGCCGGAGCGTGCCGGTCGACGGCACCCGCCGCTCTCTGTCGCTTTCTTCCTCCTTATCTCGTCTCCTCCTTTTGCTTCCCGCGCACTTCTCCTCTTTTTAAATCACTTCCCATGCCCTCCCTGATACCGTTCACATACTTGTCTTTTTTTTTTTCCCCCCCCTTGAAAATTCATCTTATTTTTAACCTCGTTTCTTCCAGAGGTGACAAAAGAACTCGCGCTCCGTACTAAAGTAGTACACGGCTCATAAAAAGCTCCGAATGTCAGGCATTCCGTCTGTCTTTTCAAACCAAGAGCTCGCTTGTGTTTTCCACTTTGATGGAAAAGAAAATTTTTATGGCAATGGAAATCAAATTTTATTGTCACTGCACATATCCAGTACAAAGCAACAAAATTCATTTCACAGTTTCAACCTGTCCGGAGAGATAAAACATAAATAAATAAATAAAATGAGGGAGAGAACGAGAGGGCTGATGATTTTCTTTGATGAAAAAGAAAAACAAAAAGGAGGAGGAAGGAGAAAAAAACAAGTCCCAAACCGTGCTCCCGATAAGGGCCGCCCGGCACAGTGCGAATGAATCAAAGACAACTATAACTCCAATAGTAAAGCTGGGGCCGACGCTTCAGCCCAGACTCACTGAGCGGGCGATGGCTTCGCATCCTACCCAGCACACCTGCACTTCTGCTATCAAAAATCTGTTCCCGTGGCTGACAAAAAAAAACAAAAACGAGCTCATGATATGAAAATACGGGGAGGAATCAGAGTGGACAGAATTCTTCACTGCTTGATGGCTCAAGATTGGCACTGCCGACAAATGATTCCCGCAGACAACCTCAAACAATTGTCTTATGTGTTGTGTTGCTTCTTTGAATCTTTTGCCATTTTCGCCACCGCTTCCTGGTTCACTTTTCTCAATGTTGCTGCTGTGTTGCATGTCTCTTCCCCCACCCCCCATCGGCAGTGCTCAGCTTGCTGTTCCACTGCGTCTATTGGGGCCTCTACGCTCGGGATGGCGTCGGCAACGGCAGCCTGAAAATACTCGGTGAGTGCCCGTGTTCCTCGCCACTTTGAAACGATGGGTGCTTGTCGGCTTGTGCGCTAACGGACATGCTCGAAACACCATGAAGCCCATCCCTTGGATGAATGGACAAAAACGTTTTCCCAGGAAAGTGGTGCTCTGATCAATGACCAAAGAACGACATTGAGAAAATAATTCCTGGGGTCCTTTGAAAGTTCCAAATTTTTGCGGCCGCAAAAGCGTGCGATGAGTTCTTGGTTCTTCTTCTTCCTGGTTTCTGGTTTAACTCCTGGTTATGAGAGTTAGTGAAAATGCTCAGTGTGACAGACCGCGCCGGTAACCCGGCAAGACTTTACCATACCCCGGTAAGGTAAAGTCTTCCTTTTGGTTTTGTTAAATGCCACCAACACGTTGAGAAAATTGTCACTGCTGTACAAACACATAATGGCCCAAGAAAGTTCCTACTTTTGGGGGAGCAGTCTTGCAGTTGAAAATGTTCCAATAATGGCGTGTGCAGTGTGTGACTTTTTTTTTTTTTTTTTATCCCTCCCTCTCCATTTTTGTTTCAGCCTTATAACTCTCGTGTCTCTTCTTTGTGTCTCTCCAGGGAAATTACTCTTCTCACTCAGTTTCCTGGTGTTCCTGCTCATGCTCATACTGCTCGGCAAAGGTTTCACCGTCACCAGGTGGGGCTGCAATCTTATTTCGCGCGCACACGTGCGCATGTTACAAATGCATTTTACATTTCGAGGACACACATTTAGATGACAAACACATGCAAACCCAGCGTGGGTCGAGTACCAACAAATTGTACTGTTGCTTGAATAATATGAAGAGGTAAAAAGTACTCCTTCAAATAATTATTTGGGTCACTTTTCAGTGGGAAAAAAACAAAACAAAGCAAGTCAAAGTAAAAACTACATTGCATTCAGTCATTCACTGCCATTGACGGCTCTAGACGTCTAACATCCACTTGAACTGAGCTGCTCTGACGAGTACAATTTATCCAAGAAATGACTTCAGGAAGTGGAACGGAATAAATGTAGTGCATTGCTACCCACCTCGGGTGCGAGCGAACACCACTCCACAATCTTCACTCGGCTGCAGCGCGCCCACAGCCTGCTCTTGGATAAAACACAAGTACAGGAGACCCTCGTTAGCTTCCAGTCTTGCTGCTTGCGAATGTAATATTTACAAGGCTTTAAGTGATGGTGAGTATTTCTTTCAGGTAACTCGACTCGCGTTTATTATTCAAGGAGTTCAAATGTGAACTCAGCGGTCCTGTGGTGAGCTTGAATTGCTGCTTTGCTCGTAAATCTCACTGTAGTTTTTAGACCGCCTTGTCCCCTCCCTCAACATGTATAACATTAAATGTCTTTACCGCCACCTAACCAATGGATCAACTTTGACTCTTTGTGTGTGTGTGTGCGTGTGCATGTGCGTGTGTGTGCGCGCCAGGGCAAGGATCAGCCACAGCGGCTCGGTGAAGCTGAGCATCTACATGACCGTCTACACAATCACCTACGTCATCCTCTTCATCTACGAGGCCGAGGTACACACGCGCACGCACGCACCACCTTTGCCGTCCTTCCCCGCCATCCCCATCACGCCTGACGCTATTGTTTCATCTCGCGCGGTTTTCGAAAAGGGATTTTTACTACGCGAATTTTATTACGCATGACAATTTGACATTTCAGTCAGTAAGTTGACGCACATGATTTTCTTTCGCGGGCCACATAAAATGATGTGGCGGGCCAGATCTGACCCCCGGTGCCCTGACTTTGACACCTGTGACTTAAAGGGTTGGAACTACCACAATATCGACGTTACTTTCATGAACCAATCTCTGGTGTTTTTTGCATGATGTGTTTACATGATGCCCTTTTGTCAATGATGTGGTTTGATGAAATACACATTGTGTAATACTCTTCAATACATTTGAACTCTGACTCAAAATGACAAGAAATGCTCATTATATCTGCTGCTTGTTGTGGAGTTCCCAGGAAATAAAACAATTCTAGCCAGAAGGGATTTATGGCATTTCAACGGGGGGAAATGGATTTGCAATACAAGTAAACTGTCTTTCGACATTTGTCACGGAACAAATTAAAGTCCTCAGTCACGGTCCCAGTTTATTTGACAAAATTGGCTTCGTTTCCTTCAAGCGTTCCCAAATGGGGCAATCGGTCACTTCATGACCATGGCAGACACACTGTGGAGTTCCCTCTAGTTGCCTTCTGTGACATTGTCATCCTCATTAATTATGCGTTGTGTCTCATCTTTGGGTGTGCGACTCCACTCGCTGTGATATTTAGCATCTGATGAATTAATAACACGCTGCTCGGCGTAGATAAGCACCGATGCCAAGTATCGGACATTGCGGAAGCGGCGCGGCTCGAAATCAATCCTTGCGGTGATGAAGACGCTCCACACCCGAGGGAGCTCCCGCTAAAAATAAGCCCAACTGGGTTACACTCCGGATTCGACGGGCTCTGCTTGATTGGCCGCGGGACTTTTTCCAGGAGCCGATCCTCGCGGGGCGAGCTGTGGGGGCGGTGCATAATGTAGCAGCGGGTAACGCGGTCCCACCTGGTGTCCAATGGAGCGTGAAATGCAATCTGGTGGCGGCCCACGACCACGACGGGTGCGTGAGGACACCGAGGAGGAAGGTGTCAATGTCACCACGACGAAGTAAAAAACGCGTAGCGTGGGCGCAATCGAGCATAAAGTTGGGTCATGTTCGAAAACCGCATTCAATTGCCACTGAAATGTAGGTCGACGTCTTTGCTTTCGCTCACTTCAACCTCTGAAAATATCAGAACGATCACCCCAATATTTGGGATTTTCTGGACGTTAAGGCTTTCCCTCTCGCTAGACGCTCCCCAAGAGAAAAAGCTTCATGTTGCTGAACCTTTAGAAAACGGCGATCATCAAAATTAACGTAGACACATGTACTTATGCCCACTTCGATCTCTCAAATTATTGGATTGATTTCCCCAGTGTTGTTATTTTAAAAACGTGAGTTCCGATGCAAGTGGTGGCCAACCCGCGGCTCGCGAGCCACATGCGGCTCTTTGGCAGGTCCCGGGCTTTCACGCCCCCGCGGTGGCGCTACCATTCAAACAACGGCGCTAAGTACAGCAGAATTTACGATGTCAGCCTATCATCAATCCCGTTACTCGATTGACACACTGGGCAACTGAATTTTGACCTTTCGGTCACCGCTCATGCGCAAACAATGGCGCTAAGCTAGTCAGCGAATTACCTCTGATTTTAAGGCGGGGCTGCCCAATACGTCGGTTGCAATCGACCGGGAGCCTTCGGGGTGGTCCCAAGCCGACCACGAGGGGTGGGAGGAGGAAATGGGTGGGCAAAAAAAGATTTGTGTGTCTGTGTGTTTTGGTTTCATTCAAGTTGGGGTGCCGTTACGGCTGTCGCTCATCGTGGCGTTTGCATGGATGGGCGCCCGGTTTTCCGTCCATGACATGTACCCGCCCATGTGTTTTCAGTTCTTTGATCCCGGCGAGGTTCTGTACGCCTACGACAGCCCGGCGGGCTACGGTCTGATGGGATTGCAGCTTTTGGCCTACGTGTGGTTCTGCTACGCCGTGCTGGTCTCGCTCAAGCACTACCCCGAAAAGCAGCCGTTCTACGTGCCCTTCTTCACAACCTACACGCTATGGTGAGTTCTCGGCTCGGCGGGGAAAACCCACCATTCATCGGCGGCGAGAATCTGTGCTTTGAATTTTTCATGCGCTTCTGTAAAAATGGACTTAAATTGTCGAGGGGATTTTGAGCTCTTCTAAATTGGCCCCCTGCACATTCTGTGAATGGCCCTTGATTAAAATGTATTGTTCATCGTAGGTTTGGGAATCACAGGACAAAATGGGAATAGTCTGTTGTCGTCATAACACCTCACATAAAATAACAGCAAAAAAAAAAAAAAAATGTAACTGCAAAGATGTTCCGAGCATTTAAGATAAGAATGAATGACAAATGAATGTACAGCAGATTCCTTTCACACACGTCAGAATAAGAGGATGAAATAAGGCAAACTAAAACAAATGAATAAATAACAGATCCTGAGATGATTCTTTTTCATTATGTCTCTTCAGATGAGGAAGATTCCGTTTTGATTATTTTGGGTTTTTTTTTTTTTTTTTTAGGTTCTTCGCCGTGCCCGTGATGGCTCTCATCGCCAACTTTGGCATCCCTCGTTGGGCTCGGGAGAAGATTGTCAACGGCATTCAGCTCGGCATCCACCTCTACGCCCACGTTGTCTTCCTGGTTTGTCCCACGAGCGCACGGCTCAATAAACGCCTCCCCTCACATCCATGTCTCCCTTTCCCCTTTGCGTAGTAACTGATGATCTGGTTTGTACACGCGCAACCGCAGCCACTGGAATTGGACTCCGCCAAAATAATAATTTTTCAAATAAACGCCTCCCTCTCTTTTTTTTCCACATTGAGTAGTAATTATCTTATTCGCAGTGTGAGTTGAAGTCCTTTTTGTCTTCCGCAGGTGATAACGCGACCGTCGGCGGCCAACAAGAACTTCCCGTACCACGTGCGCACGTCTCAGATCGGGATCCTGCTGTCCAGCCCCAAAGGAGGCGAGAGCGGCGAAAGCTTCCCCCACCACGCTTACGGCAACGGCTCCTTCCTGGGAGACTCGCAGCCCAACTTCACCGAACTCTTCTCCATCCAGTCGGTGAGTCGCGGGACCAAACCTCAACCGCCTTCACCTGCGGGATCCCGCAGGGCGAGTGTGTTTTCATCCAATTCTTATCCATGTCAAAAGGCAACAGTTTGTTCGAAATGGAAAGTGATTTTTTTCATTTTTTTACACTTCACATTTCACTCTCTGAATATTTAGGCCAGGATTTTGTTCTCGTGAACTTTCTTCCTGCTTGTAAATCGGTGACTTCGTCATGACTTCGCTAACAGCCCGTGTCGATGTCGTTGTTGACCCGCAGGATCCCGTCAAGACGGTAGAGGAAACGGTGCCGCGGAAAGTCCCCGACGTGCCGAGGAACAGCGAGCAGAAGATCATCACTACCTCGGCCCCCGTCGACGACCTGACGTCCATTTTGCCGCCACTTCCGCCCCCCATCCCGCCGCGCCCGGCCGCCGCCGTCCGCTCGCCCCCGCTCCCACTGCGGCTCCCGTCGTTCACCGAGTACTTCAGTATGCAGGGCGCCGGCGGAGGCGGCTTCGGATCAAAGGCGTGAAAACCAGAGGACGGAGTGAGTACAAATTCAAGACATTATGGGAGGAGCACACAAAAGCGCTTGTTCCTAGAGAAGCAATAAATATTTGACCAACAGAAGGACTTCTGGGCACCACGCTGGGAAAAAAAAAAACTGACAAAATCCCCCGATTTCTTTTTTTTTTTTTTTTTTTTTTTTTTTTTTGTGAATGTAAATAGCTTGACAGCCGAGCTCCCGCTTGAACTCATTTTTATTTTCCGCATTAAATATAAATTCCACCCTCGACCAGCAAAAATCATGCATTTCACTCCTTTTTGAAAAAAAAAAAAAATACTGTACTTTAAAAAAAAAAAAAGATTTTGATGAGAGGAAAAAAAGCAGCTATTTATTCTTTTAGATTTTGTTCATTTCTACATTGGTCACCTTTTGAGATTCGTTTGTTGTGTACCAAGGGGAAAAAAAACATTCAAAAGTTGTTCATTATTAAGTCAAGGAACCACTTTTTTATGGTTGTTCGCCTTCACAGCTGCGGATTCGTCATATGCTGTCAATGTTAAACGGCTTTTTTGGTATTTGTAAAGAAAGAAAAGAAAAAAAACACGCATGTTTGTGTTGTGTTTCCCGTCCATAAGGCCGTTCGTTCTCTGTATTCAGTGTTCGCTTATTCTGTGTATTAAGCATTCAAATTTTTTATTCATACGCACAATAAGCTTCCGTGTTCTCATCAAGCCATTTGGCCCAAGTCTCAAAAGAAGCTTCAGTCAGCAAAATTGTGTGAAACTTTGATGAATGTTTTAATGCCAAACGGCACGAGAATATTTTATTCGGGGAAATTGACAACTACTCATATTGTGACAGTTTCATCTCATAAATTGAGGACCTTGCATGTGAAATCTCAACTTTCTCATATTCCAGCTGTCTTCTTGGAAAATGATCACTTCGCTTCCGTAATATGACGGGTTCTCGTTCTTGTAAGATTGCGATTTTCCCCTTGGTTGTTTTCATCGATTCTCTGATGTTCTCATAAAATGTCACCTTTTTAATGATGACTCTTCAGTTTCACGGCTCGTTGTCCAAATTGTCAGTCGGTAAAACATCAAAGCTCATAGTTAGCCAAATAACATTGAGCGTCTTGCTCTTTTGTCACAATTTGTCATTTTTACACCCAAGTGTCCACTAATTCCGAACGGAAAGATAGTTAAGATTGCTCCCTCCTTAAATCAACGTTTTTTTTTGGTTTTTGGGGGGGGTTTTTGTGCTGACATTTCAATTCCGTGGACAGACGCGGCGGCTAATGCTAGCGAGCCCAACCATGGTGTAGCATTCAAGTCAGTGAGGTCAAATTTAGTTTAAAAGATAAATAAACACATTTTAACATGTACAGCCTTGGGGATGTAAATATAACTGTTGAAAAAAAAAGGGGGGGTTTTGGATGTATTTAGCATGACACGGCTAACTCCGTGGAGGGCTCGCGTTATCTCAAAACCCAACCCTTTTGCACCTGAGTGTTCAAACCGTGCCAATGTTTGAATTTCTGGTGTAACGTCAAACTACTACGGCGACAGTGTGTAGAAAAAGCAACAAGTGCACATATTGTGTGTCCTGCATGGAGCACTTTAATGTTCCTGGTCTTGTTTATTTGTGATGATGTCACCTTGCTACTTTGTTGTTACCACAGCTAGAAATATGCTAAAGTGTACACATGTAAATATGTCCCTGCTGTGGTGTCGATCATAGCTTTCTCTTGGGAAAAAAAAAATATATATAAAAAGTCTGGGTTGGCGGGACAAGAATGGGAAAAAAATATATATATATAAAAAGTCTGGGTTGGCGGGACAAGAAAATGGCATTGGTCTGAATATATTAGCATCGGTTTTGGTTATTGTCAAGCTCCAAACACGTCCAGGTACAATTTTGAAGTTTTTAATACAATCTGTGTTGTTTTTACTTTAGTCTTGTAAGACGTGTGACATTTTGTCATAACATCCCCATAATACAGTGAAACCCCATTAAGCTCATGATACATTCATGAAACTCGCCTTGAAACTTAGACTGAGTAAAACACACGTTTTAAATTATTCCTTTTCACCTGTTCTCACTCGCATTGTCAAGAAACGCAATCGTATAATCATATCACTGAGGAAATGTGAAGAATCTCTCTAAGAGCAAAGCGCGCTTGCTTCAAAGTCTTTGTAACTCCCTGTTGAAATGTGCTGTGAAACGAACACATAAAACAAAAGCGCAGTAATTGGTGATTATTTAAACACCAAATTGCTTAACAAACCCATATTTTGCCGAACAAAAGTCTGCTAGCTAATTGCAAACATATAATGTAAAATGTTACTGTGAAACGGACACATAAAACAAAAGAGCATTAAACGTACATTAAAAAACACCAAAAAGTTCAACTAGACCATCCCATTTCATTGAACAAAAGCCAACTAGCTTAATGCTAAAATTTAATGTGAAATATCAATGGCAGGCTAACCGAAATTAGCATAGACGTGGCAGTAATTCTAAACACTGAACGGGGAACACTGTGTTGCCATTTTTTCCCCCGCACCTTTAGCTTTTGTTCCAGTGTGAGTTAAGTACAGAGCAACACTTGGTTGAATTGTTGTATTGTACTTGTATGTGGTTACATGTCCAATGTATATACATGTAATCCTTTTGTTCTGTCGCCATGAGTACGACACCGGATCGCTGCTTCTGCATTTAGACGCGCACACACGGGTGGAGGGCTGAACTAGAAGACCGCATTTTTTTTCTTCTTTTTTTAAAAACTCCGGTTAAGAGCACACGGCACTGAAGGAAGCACTGTTCAAATGGATTTTAATGGTGTCAAATACGCTGTAGATGATACCGTTGTTGCCAAAATAATTAAAACATGTTTTACTACAGGTCTCGTGTGTGGGTGTGTTGGTGCATCATTTACCGCTGCCTAGAGGGGACAGAAAAGAAAAACAAATGTGGAGAATTACATTTGTTCATTGGTTTATGACAACATTAAGACTTATGCATCGTTTAAAAAAAATAGCTTTTAAATACATTTGTGAAATTCAAATGAAAAATTTAACTTTTACTGCATGTGGTTCAGTTTGGCGCCATCTCGAGTCCAAATGCAGTCAGCGCACTTTTTGCTGTCTCTCTTCAGGTTATCAGTTCCTTGATGGCCACCATAACTACATCTCTTAAAATTATGAACGAGTGAGGTTTTATGTGTTTATACAATTGAGTTGTGGCACACGTGTCTGTTTTATTCATTTATTAAAGACAGAAACATCTGCTGGTCAACAAGACTCACCCAAGAAAAAAAAGACTAAGTTGCAATATTTATTAGTGGGCAAAGAGTTCTTTGCTTCACGACTTGGGTGCAGAGTTGGCCTTGTCCTCCCGGTAGGCGGCGAGCAGCTGGTTGACCAGGGTGAGAGGGTTTTGTTTCCTGACGGGGTAGAGTGGCGGGAAAGGGTTGCCTTTGTACTCCAGCACGGCCATCTTGGCTCGGTCCAGGTTCTGCCGATTGGGGATGCGGGCCATGCGCGTGTAGCCTTCCGAGTGGCGCTCGAAGCGCGGAGCCAGCACCTTGAACAGCTTCGGGACCAGGTCCTTCTCCTGTCAAGATCCAAATGTCGGAAAGGATATGTTGGTACCTTGAGTTTAATTTGTTCCGTCACCATGCTAGAAAACGAATTTTAAAACAACATTAAAATGCAGAGCACTGTTTAACAACTATAGTCTGAACAAATACAGATGTGGACTCGTACCGTTAACCAAAAAGTTGCCATCTTCATCGCTTTCTCGTCAGTGTCTCCTTTCTTCCCATAGTCGATCAGCTGTGACAAACAACACACACAAGCGTACATTGGGAATCAATATCTTACATAATTTAAACTATATTTGTTTTTAATATATTACCGGTATTTTTTTCGGAATATTTGTGTGCTTAGTTTTTGACGTACACTTTTCATTTTTTTCAGTACTGCATACACTTCTCATTCCTAGATGTATTAGTTTATTTCCAATTGAATAGGAGGGGTCTGTACAAGTAAACTTAAATTTGTATTTGCAATTGCAAATGTATTTTTATCCATCATGTACATTTAACTAAGTTCAAATATTTAGTTTTAAAACCACAAAACCTCTGCATTTTTGTATTATGTAATGCAAAATAATTATGCATTTATTTTGTAAGATGTACATACATTCAACTAGGAAAGAGTAATGCAACGTGTACAATTAGGCACTGGTAGAATTTACTATCATCACTAATAGGCTACTAGTGCATAGTTCCGCCTCACTAGTACCAGAGTCGTGCGGACAAAGTGGGTACGAGTATAATTTAGTAGTCGGACTTTAAAGGGGTTGTCAAAGATTTGGACTGAAGACTCCAGTGCTGCCCAAGTGCTGGCGCGTTATCACCATGAGCGGACGAACTACCTTCTCGGCGTAGAAGCGGACTTCATCCGCCCGGGCGGCGGTGGTTTCGATGCGCTCATGTCGTACCAATCCGGTCAGGATGTTCCGCAGCATGTCCAAACGGGATTTGGGACCCAGCCCCATTCTCCGGGCCACTCGGCCGTGGGCGATCAACGCCCGCAGAGTCAGGCGCATCTTGGCCGCTCGCTTTGGTCCACCACAAACTAATCAAAATAGGTACGCGGAAAACACGCTTTGGAAGGAATATGTTCAGAACATCCTCCTGTTTCGATCGTTCGACAAATTCATGTCAAATCGAAAGCCGAGGTCGGTAAACACTGGAAAGCATGGAGAGGTTTGACATGACATTGACGGCGCGTCGCCGAAATCTGTCCGTGTAGGGCGGAAAAAAGGATGACCTGAACGTTCCGCCTCGAATAGAAAGCTTGATGTTCGTTGACGTTCGTTTCCAAGGAAGTGTTTTTTTCATTTGCAATTATTACAATTACATGAATGAATGAACAGGTTCATTTAATTGAAAATAATGTTTGAAAATCAGGTTTGGTGTCTCAAAAAATTTATAGCCTGGGTTACAGTCTGTAGTGAGAGTTTTTGCGAAATGTTTTATTTTTTCAAGTCACGGTTCGGATTCGAAACCAATCTTAGGGTGTCAAATTAGCGTTTCAAGGCCAGTGTTAAAATCTCATGTACGAATGTGGTTTGTTTGTGGATTGACCTGGTGGAGAACCAAGAGTGATGAGAAACCCCTTGCTTCCTTCCTTCCTTTCTTACTTACCCATCTTCATCTATTCATTGTTTTATTCCTTCTGTACTTGATTCCTTTCACACAATCACGTTTCCCTCCTTTCTGAAATACATATTTCTTTCGTTCGTTCTTTCTTTATTTCTCCTTATCAACCCTTCCTCCCTCCATACTTGTACTTAACGGCTGAGAATGTCGAAATGTCGCGCGCAGTTATGTTCTGTTTTTGTACAGTATTGATGGATTCGATCATTTGAATTTGATACTAAGAGGTGGATTACGTTGAGTAAGTCCCTAGTGAATGGAACTAAATGCACTGCCTGACATTTTTTTGGGGGGGGGGGGGCTGGGGGGTCGGCGTATTAATTGATCTTGCGCTAATTGAAGTAGACAATATAGAGAAAACCGCTGAAGGTGTAACTTTGAAATGCGTGGCTTGTCATGGGCTTTTTAAAATCCATGTTCTAATAAATCAATATCTGTATTCTTTATAATTAGAAGTCCTGTACAGTGTCGTTTTCCAATATCTCAATAAGTTTAAGATGAACAAGTTTGAGAATGTGAGGTTAAAGTCCCCTTTGGCTGGGTTCCAATTCAACTGTTCTCTCTGAAGCTTTTTATTGACTGCCTCCTATTAAGCCTTACCTCTGGTCCTGGAGGCCAATAAAACTCCTGGCGTGGTGCTGATGGGAAAACTTCTCCATACTCGTTTAATAGTGATACTTTTATAGAAAGCAATTCAGTGTGGCCACCCAAAAAAAAAAAAAAAAAAAAAAATCAGA